GATAAGTAATGATGCTAAGATGAAGAGAACAATGCAAAGGCCATTACCTTCAGGACGTATGAGTATTCCACATGCTGTTGCGTGGGCAACTATTGCTGGTACTTCTGGTGCTTGTTTGTTGGCTAGCAAGGTGACTGTTTGTTTTCTATGTGATTATGTCTCAGTGATTAAAGAGATTATGAGTCTAATCTTTTGGTTCCACGACAAGGTTATTGCAGACTAATATGTTGGCTGCTGGACTTGCATCTGCCAATCTTGTTCTTTATGCGTTTGTTTATACTCCGTTGAAGCAACTTCATCCTATCAATACTTGGGTTGGTGCTGTTGTTGGTGCCATACCACCCTTGCTTGGGTAAAATTTGTTCATTTCCTCTTTATTTCGCTTCGTTCATTTATTGTCGCTTGTTCCTGAGTTTAGAGGCTTGCATACTGCTTTTCCGCTAGAAATGGAATCATGGTTCGCCAAATTTATGCTTTATCTATTTTGGATTTTTCAGGTGGGCTGCAGCGTCTGGTCAGATTTCATTCAATTCGATGATTCTTCCAGCTGCTCTTTATTTTTGGCAGATCCCTCATTTTATGGCCCTTGCACACCTATGCCGTAATGATTATGCAGCTGGAGGGTAAGACCATATGGTTTCATATGAGATTAGAATGTCTCCTCCCATGTAGTGATTCCGCTGAACGATCTCAATGCCCTAGATAGTGCTAGATAATAGAAATGTTTTAGAGAGGATTAGCCTAAGAAAGTATGAAGTGTCACAGCAGTCGACTATGTGATGGCTAGATAATGAATTCTTTCTGCTAGAAACTAACAGTTGGGAAACATTGCAACCGGACCGTGTTCTGATTCTATGCTATGTAACTTTGTTTTCAGTTACAAGATGCTGTCGCTCTTTGATCCCTCGGGGAAGAGAATAGCAGCAGTTGCACTTAGGAACTGCTTTTACATGGTCCCTCTCGGTTTCATTGCCTATGACTGTGAGTCTTCTTTTTTATTCTGGTTTCATCTATTTTTAGTTCATAGACTGCTGTTTCTGATATTTGCTGTTCCTTCCATTATTGTTAACAGGGGGATTAACCTCGAGTTGGTTTTGCGTCGAATCAACACTTCTCACACTAGCAATTGCTGCTACAGCATTCTCATTCTACCGAGACCGAACCATGCAAAAAGCAAGGAAGATGTTTCATGCAAGTCTTCTCTTCCTTCCTGTTTTCATGTCTGGTTTGCTTCTACACCGTGTCTCCAACGAGAACCAGCAACAACTCGTAGAAGAAGCCGGTTCATCAAATTCCGCATCGAATGAAGTAAAAACTCAGAGGCGAAAGAAACGCGTAGCTTCTCAACCTCCTGTGGCTTATGCTTCCGTTGCACCATTTCCTTTTCTCCCAGCTCCTTCCTTCTATTCTCCATAAAAATCGTCTAAACAAGCTCTTGAATTTCTGATACACAGAGAAGTGAAGAAGAACATTCTGAAAAATTTGGTTTTTGAGTTTAATCTTTTGGTTAATAAGGAAAGTGGAGTACGCATAAACAAATTTATTTCTTTTTTTTGGCTCCACATAATTGTAATTTGTTTAAAGTTATATACATATACTTATCTCTGGTTAAACGAGATTCTTGTTTGAAACGAATTTGGTTCTCAGTGAAATTCGATAACCGATTATTGGTTAAGGTTAATAAACCACTAAACCGGATAGGTTGAATGTTTCGACATATATCTACCATAAGGGAATCAGGACATTGAAGTTCAGAGAGGTTAATCTGTGGAGATGGCGATGAGGCAGAAATCAATGGCGACTTTGCCAAAATTGATTCAAAGTATGAGAAAAGAAGTTCCGAAGCATACGAATCCAGTTTTGCCGTCTCTAAGAAGAGCTTTTTCTCTCTATGATCAGATCAATCTCATTGACAATGTTCCCGAAGACCAGCTCCGGTTCCAAGAGTAAATCAATCCAAAACTCATCGTTGTTTTCCTTACTGTTCGTCTTCGATTCTGGATTTCTAGACCGTTTTCTGGGTTTTGATTTGAAATGAGTGATTAGGGTTTATATCTTCACTTCATTTGCAGATTTAATGAGACGAGTTTCACGGTGAATGGGGTGAAATACGAAGGTAGCTTACTCTGTGTTGGGAATTTGCTTATGTCATGGAGCCCTCGCAAATTCTCTGAGATCACACCTGATAGGTAAATGTTAATCCTCTCTCTTCTCTAATTAGGCAAAAGTTCTTGAGCAGTAACAAAAGTTTGAAACTTTAAGCTATGTAAATACTTCCTTAAGTGTTATTATCACTAGATTCAAGCAATGTTTAGTTATGTGATTTTGACAAATAGGTTCAAGGCTTCGATGTTGTTCATTGTCATTGGCGGAATTGAAAGCTTTATCGATTTTGATGTGTTTGTTCAAACATTTGGTTTATGTTTGATAACTTAAGTTTGAAACTTTAAGCTATGGAGATAACTTCCGCAAGTGTTATTATCAATCTTTGTTTCTCAGTCCTAGATTGTAGCCAATTATTCTGTCACAAACCTCACATCGATTTGGAGTTGATTTCGTTTGACTGTGTTTGAATGAAAGTTATGTGCTTGTTAACAAACATTGCTTCAAGTTTTCAAAGTTCATTGCGATCAGCGGATTTGAAAGCTTTATCGATTGTGATGTGTTTGATCAAAACATTTGGTATGTGTCCGATAAAGTGTACTTTGTTGCTGTTGCTTTTATACTCTTTCTATGTAGTTTATGAATGAATGCTGTCGTTACTAATCGTTTGTTCTAATTCGATGGATGCAGCTTGTCTATTTTCCAGACAGTTCGACCGATTCCAGGTAATAATAAGGATCAAATACTATTCAACAACACTTCTCTATCTTGAAAACAAACTTGTTTTTGTCGTCATTTTTACAATTAAATTCATATGAAAAAAAAAAATTCTGCATATCTATTGGCTGATCAACTATTGTAGACTGTATACTACCATGAATCTCAGGTCTTAATGTATACTGTCGAGTCTAAGATTAATCGACGGTTTCTAATTGTGTGTTTTCCCTTCAGAGCTCTTGATTGTTGGTTGTGGAAGAAACATTCACCCGGTAACTCCCGAGGTCCGTCAGTTTGTCAAGTCCATTGGCATGAAGCTAGAAACAGTTGATTCTGTATGTTTCTTCTTAATCCATTACAAGCTTCTCTAGTCCCAAGCTCACTTCACAATTTCTTATCCGCTTATCGATTACTCTAATATTACAGAGAAACGCTGCATCAACTTACAACATTCTGAACGAAGAAGGAAGGGTCGTTGCTGCGGCATTGCTTCCATACGGAGTTACATCCTAAAGAAAAAACTAACAAACTCGAGCTCTGTCTATCCAAAACTGTAAATGAATATTCATTCAGACTTCTCTTCCGAAAAAATAAACCGAAATCCATCGGATTTTTCCTTGCTTTCGAGCTATATAACAAACGCTGTAACATCAGATCCATTGGAAACTTTTTCTTGCATTTATTAGTTTTCCTCTATGGTTCTGTTGTATCAAGATTCAGATTCTGAGTGTTATCGTTACAGAGATATCGTTACGGTTATATAAAGAGCTTTGAGTATATATATATAAAGAAGAAGAGTCATACAGTACAGTGTGAATTTTAGTCGTCATTTTCGTATCTCGCGGGCAAGTATAGACGAAGAAAAACCCTAAATTCTCTCCGAATCAATTTCAGGCGAAAACGAATGGCGTCTCTTGTTCAACCATCGCCTACTTTTCCGGCGATAAATCTCCGGCGTACTTCACTGATTCGTCGCGCTTCTTCTTCTTCGGTTCGATTTCCTCTTGTAAGTCTCCTCTATTTCTCTCTCTGGTATCACTGGTTTTTTAGAGTCTTCGCTCGAATCTGATCAATCTTGTTCTTCGATTAAGAGGTGTAACGCGGCGGATCCGTTCAAGTTCGACGCCGGAAACACTACCGGTTACCATCTTCTGACCGGCGACAGCGTTCCCGCTAGTGCGTTTCTTTCGAGGCCACGTTTGGAAGATGCGATTTACCAGAACACTACACGGCTCCGTATATTTTCCGGCACTGCTAATCCTTCTTTGGCTCAGGTTCATATTCGTAATCTGTTCAATCGCTAGAGTTTTTGGATAGTTGTTGTTAAAGTCCAAGAATTAGTAGCTTGAAACTGGAGCTTTGTTCAATTGATTCATGGATCTTGGTGTTTTCCGATGATAACAGGAGATTTCTTGCTATTTGGGTCTGGAGCTTGGGAAAATCAAGATTAAACGTTTTGCTGATGGTGAGATCTATGTTCAGCTACAAGAGAGTGTAAGAGGATGCGATGTATTCCTTGTGCAGCCTACCTGTCCACCTGCAAATGAAAACCTTATGGAATTGCTCGTTATGATTGATGCTTGTCGGAGAGCTTCTGCGAAAACCATCACTGCTGTGATTCCTTACTTTGGTTATGCTCGAGCTGATAGAAAGGCAAGTCTTTCCGGGAACTATAGAATCTGTCTGTTTGAATCAGTTACACCTTCTATTATAGGCATAACGGTTTGTTTCAAAGAGTAATTCATTGTTAGTTTAAGTCAGATCGATAGGTAGTTAGTATCCAGAAGTAAGCAGACTGGTAGCTTAGTTCTTTGTGCCTATATTTAGTTTCTAGTTGATGGTTAATAGAGTTTCGTTCTAAAAATTCTTGCAGACTCAAGGACGTGAATCAATTGCAGCAAAGCTTGTGGCCAATTTGATAACAGAGTCTGGTGCAGACCGTGTCCTTGCCTGTGATCTTCACTCCGGACAGTCTATGGGATACTTTGATATTCCAGTCGATCATGTCTATGGCCAGGTAAAAAAGATTCCACAAAGCATTGATTTCCTATTTGTGAAAATGGATTTTCTTATGGTTACTTAATTTTTTGCTTTAAAATTCATGAACAGCCTGTGATACTTGATTACCTAGCTAGCAAAGCCATATCCTCTAGCGATTTGGTAGTAGTTTCACCTGATGTTGGTGGCGTTGCAAGGGCTCGCGCTTTTGCCAAGAAGTTATCTGATGCTCCTTTAGCAATAGTTGATAAGAGACGTCATGGGCACAATGTTGCAGAGGTAGGTAATATGAGTGTATGTCATTCAAATGCGACTTGATTGTTCGTCTACTTTTTGACAGTGAACAATCCATATCATGTAGGTGATGAACTTAATCGGGGATGTTAAAGGAAAAGTAGCTATAATGGTGGATGACATGATTGACACAGCAGGTGATCAGT